GACCCTTCCTTTCCTTTCCTTCCCCACACACCCCTAATTTCTTCGCCTCTGACTTTCTGCGCCAAAGACTCAAGCTAACGGTGAGAGAGTGCCAGCGGCCCAGCCTCTGTTTTGCTCGTAAGACGTTGGGGGTGAAGGTTGTGAGGGAGGGACAGCGTGGCTACCAGATAAGCGGGTCCAGGTCAGCCATTGCAGCTTAGAAGACCAAAGAAAGAAAAACCTTTTAATTAGGTTTGCCGTGCAGTAAGGGCCCTGTGGTCTTGTGGCCCAGACACTTCCTGCATTGTGCTCCACCACCCATAAAGTAGCAGCGAGCGGGAGCAAGTGAAAGAAAGTGAGGGCGTGAGGCTAAAAATGTCTCTGCCACATGTGCACCCTACTGACCGCAAAACAAAGAGATGCCCCACAGCCAGCGTGCGCTCTTGTTGTTTACGTACAAAAAGTCCTTACACCGAGTGCCTGTGTAGACAACTGTCTGGTCCTTAGTACGATGTCAAACATTCCTGCAGCAAGAAACGGGAACGGCTAAGGCCGCTCTTAATTTACTACAACAGCCAGTCCAAGTTTCCACCACCTTCGTCCTCTTTTATACTCTTCTTGTTTTCATATTCCTACTGTTAGCTCTTGAGCGTGGATGTGAAGCCCAGAGTCAGGCCCGTCAGACTGGGTCTACAACAGTGTACGTTGGACATATTTTCCGTCTCATAACAAAAATAGTAGCAAAATACCAACAATCATATCTTGGTGATGCTTAATGAGCCCTTTCGGATCCTTGACAATATACCACTAATATGGTGCTTTGCATCCCTTGAAACATACCAGAGTGGAGTCCTGGAAATAGTAACACAAAAGCGAGGCCTCATAGGCGTCCCACAGCCAATGTAAAGTTTTCTCTGTACTCCCTGCTCTCAGTGCAGTACACTACGTAGGCCTCATTCAATGTTCATGTATAAAATCCTACCTGGATTCTTTCCTGTACCTTTACTCGGGAATCGTATTGCAAATTGCCCTCATACAAAGGGAGGGGGGAGATGAAAAGTGAGGTGAGTATGGGAGTAAGTGCCTGCACTCCAGACACGTGGAGCCTGTCTGGGGAAGAGATACTGTGCTGAGAGGAGGGGGTGGATGTATGTCATCAATTTGAGCTCTGGCCTTAATGTTTTACAATAAAGAGCAACACCTTGCTTTGATCTTCCTGTTCTGTTCTGCAGACGGTCGGCTGAGACAACCATCCACGCCAGTTACTGTAATCCTAGCCTGAAACCATGCTTTTAATGAAGAGATGGACAGATGACTTAAAACACACGAGGTCAACGGCGCTCAGGCTGGAGGCGTACACTGACTTTTTTAAGAGACACTTGCCGTCAGGCCGCCAGGACGGATTGCTGATAAAAGGCTGTTTTTGGAACAAATGGGTCGAAAAACACGCCGATGGAATTTTGTATGACTAGTAAGGAAACTCTATTGCATTTATCGCCTCGGGGTGTGGAACGTGCTGAGGCCTGCTTCATTGCAGAGACAAGCGCGGCGCCGGGCAGCTGTATCGCGCACAAGACTACAGGAATGAGGGCACGAAGAATGGTTTTCTCTGTTTAACAATAAGTGTGGCGCTCAGTGGAGAGGGAACGATCTGAGGTCCCCGTGAAGAACCCTGTTGTGTGTGTGTGAGTGTGTGTGTGTGTGTGTGTGTGTGTGTGTGTGTGTGTGAGAGAGAGAGAGGATGCAGAGATATTACCCAGGAATGTGGCGATGTGGCCAAAGACATGATTTGAGTCATCATAAGGGGAATCTTACCCTCCTCACCCATATGAAGAAATATCACAATCCCATCAACAGGGCCTACACTGAGAGACCCAGTGGATTGTACTGATGGGGTTTCTGTGTGCTGGTATAAGAGAATGGCTTTTTATTTGTAAAGATCTTTTTTTACAGTAGTGGGAGAATCTCATTACAACTGGTAATCTTTAATGTAAATTATTAATGATCGTATCAACTGTGGTTATAAACGTACAGCTAATAATTTATCTTCCATGTCCTACAGGGGGCACTAAACATTTGTTTGAATGGGTTGATATGTACATTATTAAATGAATGTGTACCTCCACTATGTTCTTACAATGTTTAATTCATAAAGTATAAACCCAAAACCTGCAACAACTCGACTAGAAATATTTTTTAAGGTTTTATCAGTCCCCTCCTCGGCCATGATAAGCTAACCCTTTACCCACCCACAAACATATGCACATCAACATGTACTGTACTTTATTTTCCTGAGTGCATTCCTTGTGATTTATCTCTGCGACCTTCTACTTTCCAATATTTTTACCCAGAAGCATCGTGAACAATTGCAAAAGAAATAGAAAAATAGGAAATACAAAGAGAGGGCAAAATCCTTGCTATGAAAAATTACTTGGCAGATCATACATTTTTATTCTCTATGGTTTATTTTTTTAAGGAAACTACCTTAAACCATGAGCACCATACATACTCATCATACATACATATTCTTTTAGCAAAACACTTGTTGGCATTTTCAAATTTTAATTATACACTTATATTTGGAAAACCCTCCCGTACAGTTGAGTTCACACATTCATCACTGTCTATTACGACCAACTTGAGACGTAGAAATATGCACAATAACGGCAAAAACAAAGTTTGAGCCAGTTAGGAATCTCAAGTTAGCATTCAGTCCCACAGTACAGTATGTGAATCAGAAACCACAGTCGTAATCACCCAACGCAGACACAGCTACAGCTTAATAAATACTTTACAAAAATATTGCAGGCTTTTTACAATGTTCAGCTTCAGAGGCACACGTTTGGTAACGATTTTCACGCGAAATAAACAAACTCTTGTTTTCAATCTCATGACAGCATGGATATTTACAATATGCAGGATGTCGTGAGATTGACACAATCTAAAAAGTAGGGGGGGAAAAAAAGAGAGAAGATTCGTACCCTGTCCTCTGACCCAACCCCAACCCCCTCCCCCTCCTCACCCACTCAAGGGAAGATCTCACTGTTCTAAAATCACAGGCCTCTAACATTTATTCAGTACAAGAAATCTAATGGGTCAAACACACTGTCAGAACAGAGATTTCCCTTTTAAGAATAGAAAGTTGATTTTCCCTTTGGTGACCAAATCTAAATTGTTAACACATTGCTGGCATTTTTTTGTAAAAACAAACAAAAAACATGCTTAAAAATCCAAATAAAGCAATGTTGAGTGTTCTTTTTTTTTACTTAAGTCAATAAAAGTTCATTGTTGGCAAGCTGAGGGGTTCCACTGTGTAGAGATTTGTTCCTCATGGTTGAGAAGAGCAAGTTCCCCAGAGACGTACAGTTGTTTTGTTACTTTACCATAAACATGAAAAAAAGAATGGTTTCAGCTCCGTTTTTGAGGTTTAGCTGAAAATGTAAGCAGTGCGTTGTTTTTCGTCTCACGCTACACTGAGCTAGAATTCCCTTGCTTCTTCGAACTGTTTGTAATAGTCCTCATCCTGAGGGTTGTCCGGACATTTCTGCCCGTTGTTTGGTGGCCGGGCCTGGTTGTAGCGGCTCCAGTCCCCTTTGCAGATGATCCAGGGCAGGATGTCCACTTTATAGTGCAGGTCCGCAGAGAACTCTGTGCTAATCAGGTTGGGCGTTCCGGCCCCTTTGCCGCGAGTTATTAGCTTCATGTTGTCATCGTAGCAGCAGTGCTGCGCAGCCAATGTGGTGGATTGCAGCGTTAGCATGGAGCGGATGCAATAGCGGGCGGTGGGCTTGTAGATCTCCAGCTTCTCTTTGGGGCCACTGGCATCTTTCCAGCGGAAGTCTCTGCGTGTGAGAGGGTCATGTACGTCTGCCGTGCTGTACGCCACCTCAGTGGGGTAAGAGCAGGGGCAGCTGGGAAGATCGTTGGCTACCTTGGTCATGTACTTCTTGAGGAAGTCGCTCTTACAATTCATCCATCTCTCACAACTGTCCGTGTCTGGAGGAAACAAGACATTGTTGAATAAGATTCTCCACTGACACAGACAAACACAGCAGACTTGTAAGAAGGTGCTAGGATTAACACGAAGGTTTATTTTTACTGCACTGATGAAGAACAGGGGGTGAAGATACAATCATACTGAGCACTTCCTGGCAAAGAAGTGGGTTTAAAAAAAAAACCAAAACAGTTACTTATGTCCAGGAACGTTTGTCTACGATCTGTGTTAGGGAACATTTACATAATGATACAAAAGGCAAAACTCTTACCAACACCAAAGAGTTCAGTCGCATTGAACTCGTCAGTTCCAGCAAGCAGGCTAACCTCAGTAGCTGCTGTCTTGAAGGCATCCTCGATACCTTTAACACAAAATGACTTATCAATCAAACATGGTCACAGAAAGAATTCCTTAAATTCTATGAAGGTTTTAAAAGATGCACATATAAATGCAGGACCTTACCTGGACAGTTGGGCATATCACAAGTCCTGGACTCTGTAGCCGTGCAAGCGTAACCGCATGACCTGGTCCTCTTCTGATTCCCGTTCCCACAGGTCACACTGCACGCTGACCAGCTACTCCAGTCCCCCTCTCCATCCATGTAGTCTGGAAGGAGCAAGAAAGAGCCTTAGCTCTGATGCAGGCCACATGCTGAACTCACTGAGGCCTATTAGCATGCCTCACTAATATCAGCGGGGGGAGAGCAGCGGAAGTGGGGGATCTCAAAGTTCTTTCTCACTTTGCTACTTCAAGTAGTACCACAAACCCATGTATTAGAAAAACATGCAAATGTTTTGCAAAAACCCACAGCTTAAAGGGACAGTTTTCTGTTTTTATGTGACTGCAGGATCTGTAGGGAACTAGCATTATATGCACGACTTTAGATTTGGGACAGAGAATGTTCGAAACACATTTGACTTACTCTGACTAACAAAGAGTAGTTTGTGAAAAGGGCGATTTACTTTAGCCCTAGTCTGCAGCTACTAACTGACATTTTCCAAGGACTCTTCACAGTCTGCAAATAAGAAATGGAAATTCCAGACAAAGATCAGAAGTGCTGTATGTGTGAAAGTCTCTTGGAAATGTAGGTACTTCACACTGGATTATGTTTTATAAAAGGACAAAGGTTTTGGTCTCATTTGTTGGTAAAATGTAGTCTTCAATCTCAGTTTCATATATTATGAACCTGTTTAAGCTAAATAATATGATAAAGCAGCTGTCCCCCAGGAAGCCTGTTTACAGCAGGTATTGTCGTCTAACATTGTCAGGCTGTTGTTGAATGGTTTCTCTCATCAATCATATCAGCATTCTTTATTAGCTGTAGCATCTGTTATTCTCCAAATGTAATGTCACATTATTTGAAAGAACAATGACGGACTGTTGGACATAGGTGTGAATGTGAGCGTGTATGGCTATTTGTCTCTATATGTGGATGAATTGGAGAACACTCCCCACCTCCCACCACCCTGCTAAGGACTAAGTGAAAAGATGAATGAATAATACAATCCATCATGAATGGGCCACCACTGCTGTCCCTCTGTGCTTGTCCAAAAAGGTTTGAAAAGGAAGACGGTAATGATGACAAAATATTTCCTGAGTCCTTTGTGCGGTAAGTATATGATCTGACCACGGTAATAGTCCGGAACATTACCCGTGGTCTACGGTTTGACTAAAAAGATTAAGAAGTGGCCTTTCTAACCACAGTGGGGCAAATACAAGTGGATTAAATGATATTTTCCACAGAGCACACATTCCTGTTCAACCATGTTGGTTTGGGCAAGCTGTAACACGGGCCGGACACATAGTGAATGACAGTGAGTGTAAATTCTTCTGCGGCAGATTTACTGTATCTGTGGCCCTACGTTTGGAGAGTGTTGTGAAAATAGTGTGGCAACCTAACGGTTCTTCTGGCCTCATTCCTGCCGCTCCACTTTGATGTTGCGATGCATTTAAACTGTGAGCTCCGCACCGCAGAGGAATCCATCTCATAAAAGAGTGTTAAAGGCTTCAATCAGGGGCGCTCAGAGGCTCACCCAGGATGAGTGCACTTATTATGGTGACAGCTTAAATCAGCAAATCTGCAAATTACAGATTCCACATCAGACTATGACCATCTGTGGAAACGACCGGCGCTCAAATAAGAGCATATGGATCCTGCTAAATATTCTGGCATGTGCATCACGCACTCGCAAACACACAACACACCCTCCTGTCGCTCTCACCGTATTCGGCTTGAGCTTTGCTTCCCGTGTCTGTTCGTCCCCTCCTGTCCCAGTCAGAAGGTGGGCGCAGGAAGTTGCTATCCTCGCCGTTGCCCTGGTATGTGCGATCACGCTCCTCTGTGTGGTGAGTGGGCGACGACGTGCGATGCCACCAGTTCCTCCAGTTGGTAGAAGCCCAGTTGGGTTTGGTTTCCTTGCGGAGACCTTTGTCCTGTTCATGGACGTCTATTCCATCCACCACCTCGATCGTCACCTGTGGTTAGTTGACAAAATTTACACTTAGGTTTAAATTAAACCCACAAAACAAATGGTTATTACTAGGACCTAATAATCTTATGATTATAGGTGTAAATATACATAATATATATTGATTATTTGCTATTTATAGCTTCTATTAATTACATATTTGTTAATTCTTGCGTTCCTGGTGTAAGACGATTTGACCTGATTCCCATTTTTCAGGGCAGCACAACAATTATTTATTTTTTAATCTACAATTTATGTGCATATCATTCTCTATATTTTCAATATAAGGCTCTGAGTGTACCCACAGTATGAACTGATGAGCTCATACATACCACCAGTTCACGACCAGTGCTTACCTATTTCCTAATCACAGGCAACAGTTCCAATGGTCTTTTTGATTTTGCTTCTCAAACCTGATCTTCTTGTCCTCCATCTTGCGTCAAATTTGTTGATTTTTTTTTTTATTTTTGCTGTGCCACTCTAATGTTTGCAGCTTCAGCCTTAACCTGTGCGTACATGGATATAACCTGATCATAGAAATCTGTTGACAATATCACTACCTCTGGATTCAGGCAGGCCTCAGTTATTTGATACGGGTTCTGATGAATCTGATGGAGCAACAAGTGTGAGCAGAGACCCATCTTAGCAGGACAGACGCTGCTCTGAGACCTGGTTTATGTTGACAAACCCGTAACCAGATTTCCTGGTGATACAGAAACTTCTCGGAATGTTACTCATTTGTTTATGTAGCGCTAACTAAAAAAAAGCGCCCTTTGAAAAAAAATAATTCTGTAAACTGAAGCCATTTTTCTGTGGCTTGTTATTGCGATTTTTAAAAGAAAATATTTGAATAATCCTAAACACTAACCGCCAATCACATTGATCACCGAACTGATGGATCAACATTTAGTTGGCCCCATACACAATATTAAACCTGGTCCCACTTTTGTCCTAATACATGTGCCTCACAGATGGGGGGTGGGGGACAGAACCCCTGCCCCACAGCCACCCTCCCATCTCTCAGGCCCTCTCCACCTAAATACAAAGTTCAAAGGGCTACTCTGCCTCCTCCAGACCATGAAAGCCAGATGAATCCTGGGATCAAAGACATCCCCCCTCCCCTTCCACAGACTCACGCCCTTGCTCAATTGGTTGCTCTGCTCTCTTCCCACATCTTGAGATGTTAATACACTTTGTTCGTGCGGGGATTTAGCAGAGATGCTCTCAGAAATGGTAAGGCCCCCTTTGCTGGATTAGACAGGAGAATGATTTAAACATGGCAGCGGTTTCTCAGCCATCTGCACCTTTGAGGGTCTTGTGGGCAGGGGTTTGCCACACATTAATACAAGCTGCCGTCTGAGTGTCTCCCCGCACATGGGTTAGCAGTGAGGCATCAGTTAATGTGGTGTCATGGCGATGAACACGAGACCGCAGTATGGATGTGATGCTCCTCTGCGAGCCAGGAGGTGTGAAATGATGGGGGAGAAGGAAGGAGGAAGGAGAAAAGGAGGTGGTGATGTGCACCCAACTATCCTCCCTTTTCCTGTTTGCTCTTCCTGTGCTGTGTGCTTGAGTAGCCATGTCTCACTAGCCACTGAAAAGAAAAAAAGCAGAGAGCGGCAGGTGCACAGACGCACGCAGTCACCTGGATGTTGGGATTCTGTCCGTTGATATCGGCCTTGGAGAGGTCCGGGAAGTTGTGCAGATCCAAGATGAAGGTGCCGGGGCCGTCCCTGTGTACGTTGCCGCCTTTTGCCCAGGGTAAGGCCAAACGGTGTTCTGGACCAGACCTCCTGTCCTCAGGGGCCAGCTGGACAGAGGAGCTGCTCTTTACATTTATGTTGTTCTGAGGAGAGAAAAAGCGTGTTAGTTGATACAAGATTTTGAAACTTTTTTTGAAATTCCCTGTTCTTCTGCTCCCTGAGGGGGCCTGCCCCTCATTTTGGGAACCACTGTCATAAAAATCTTAGTTACATTAACTACAGTCATTAACTTAGCAAGATAAACAGTGTCTAGTTAAAAACCATTCGTTTTTAAATGGTGCCTACAATTCATTTGTCACTTCACCTGTTTAGTTTGTTGTTAGAATTCTTGCTAACTTTTATTTATGGTTTGTATATGAAAGACCACGTAGTCGGACTAATCAATCTCTACACCTGTTTATTCACCCAACCCAGGTTATTGGTGTTATCTAACAAACAGAGTGTGGTCTTAACCAAGTGAACACAGCACTCACTGATTACAGAGAACAAATAGTCTGGTTTGCACAGACAGCCACTGATCCTCTGTCAACATGCGAGCTCCATCTACACTCCACTGTGACCTTGGTCTTGGTTCTGCTCAATGTGCTGCGGGCTCAGAAAACAGACACTGAAGCAGCGGTTCTGTCTGCCTCTGACAAAATATAAAGTGTGGAGACTCCCACACTTAGACTGTATATTTATATTTCTCCTTCTTTTAGCTGAGCTGACTGTGCTGCTGCTGTTACTGCTTCAGCGTGGCAGTCCGATGAAGGCATATATAGCATGGTCTGGTGGCGGCTGAAAGGAAAGCACCGTGTGACTGATGGTTTTCATGCACAGAGGTTATTCAGAGAAACCTAAGCAAACGTTGCAAAAATAATTACATCTGCCTGCTTGTAGATTCGAAAACATTTGATTCCTTTGACCGGAGAGAGAGGGCTTTTAAATCTGTACCAAAAGAACAGTTTGACCATATGTGCCCTGTCAGGTGTGCATGGAAGAAACAATTACATCTCAGTTGGACACAAAGACACAAGTAGCCGGCGAACATCCATTCAGGGGTGGCAGAAATTAAGATCAAAGAGAGCCATCAATCATGTTCCTTGTTTTCTTTCTCCGTGTCCCCCTTTTTCCTCCCTAGTGTTTTTGTGGCTGCACTGAGGCCTGAGAATATGGCAGCAGGGCTGTACAGTTGTGGTGGCCAGTGTCAGCTCAGCCACATTGTGGAGGGCATAAAGGCCCCCCAGCAGAGCTGTTTGTGTCCAGCCAAGGTGCACTCTGGGACAATATAGGCGTTGTAAATGGGGAGCACAGCACGGGAGGAAGGATTATAAATGTGCACTGTAACATGAATTCAGCCGCAGAGGGGGCAGCGGCGGCGGCGGTTGGCGGCACAGTAAATACTTCCCCATCCATTGAGGTTTATACATTTTTACTGCCTTTGAGACCAGATGCAGCCAACTTGATAACACGGCGTGGTTTTACCAATTGGAAAACGTCACATTTCTTAATGTGAGCAACCGCCATAATTACAATGATTATGCGATTGCCCATAATTTTGAGGAGGAAGAGTGGATGCGCTGTACTTGTCTGCAGCCGCCAAATAAAAATAGCAGGAAGTCACTGAAGATAAATGACCGGTTTAGTGAGAATGACGTTTCAAATCATAAAAATGTGAGGAAAACAATATTACGATTCAAACCAGATCGGCCTTTTACCATAATTAAAAGAACACAGGCCTCAGTTACTGAGCTATCAGCCCCTGAGTTTGAACATCACAGGAGCCTCTTGGTTTCTATCACAAGTGCTTGGGCTTTAAGATGACCATGAGATAACCCTGCCTTTTATGTTCCCCGGCTTCAGAAGTCACCCAGCGGCTGTGACTGTGCTCTGCCGAGGGAGGGGGGCGGACCTCCCACAACAGGTTCAGATACCATGTAAACATACAGTATGTATATACTCGACATGCATTAGTATTTATTTCCCACACACTGCACTCAGTCACAGGTTCTCTCTTCAGTTCAACAAGTTCTTAGTGACTTTCTGACAATTAAAAGCTTGGTCAGTAGATCTACTCATTCTCTATCTACTGAACGTGGCACAACATGACTTCACCGGTAAAGCTATGTCTGAAACAAGCAGTTGTCGTGTTCTTGGTGCCAGATTATGTTGGACATTTTCAAATGAATTTGTGTGGCTCCCACTACGCTAACTTTGCTATTACACATATTGCTAATAGTGAGCTCGCAGCTTCCCTGGCTCACTGTGAAGTACTTCCAAGCTAACAAGGCATGTGAAAAATATGTGCACTGACCGGATGGGCGCTGGTCATCAGCCGGTTCTGGTCACTGGCTGGTCGATGGGTACATATGTAGTTGTTAAAGGTTATAGATTTTATTTCTTGGATTCATCTCAGTTACAGGCTTCACGGGTGGTTCTCATGTCCACATTTATGTCTTGATATCAATATGACTAATAGTCGTTGTCATTCAGGCACCAGAACAGCCAACCACGACACATTTCACAGACACTTCCACTTGTTGTAGCATCAAAGAGCAGCTTCGACTGAACGGAAATCATTCAAAGATGGCAGGCGTCAGAGCATAAAAGACAAAACTAACTGTTTTGATCAACTCTTTCCTATTTTCCACCACAATTTAAACTCTTTCTACAGCTCCGATTTGACCACAGATATTTCACCACGCACGCTGTTGTCATGAACTCATTCGTGGTACTTCCAGATTACTTCTCCGTGATCCGCTCTAATCCTGTCTGTTTCTTCTGCTGTGTCACATTGTGCTGCGTTACACATGGAAGGCAGATCGGTCTAATCCCGACATAAATTTGGTTTATTTAAAGTCAAACTTCAAAGTTTTGTGATCAGTCTCACAGCTGCATATGTGATGAGATTTAAACCAGTGTTGAAGTAAAAGCCTGCCTTAAAACACTGATGAATTCCAGACACAAATATGATTTTAATTTATCTTCCTGCAGATAATCCTGCAGATTGCGGTCGAGGAGTGCAGTTTTTACATCCGTATTTTATATTGAAGTTTGTTTTGTAGAGAGTTGGAAACTCGTGATCATGTACTAAACAGGTTCATGTACATTTGGCTGGTGCGTGAATCAGGGGTCACCATAGCGAGGGTCTGCATGTTGAGCCAGCAGAGCGTTAACACTAGACACTCTTCCTGATGCATCCCAACCTGGGAATTAGGGGATGAAGTGGTATCAAACCTGTAGCCATCTGGTGGCAAACATGCGACCTGCTAACGTGCTAATGAAGCACCCCAAATTATTGACAATATGAAATTGTCAAACTCAAAATCAGATGTGGTCCGGACCTGTTGCAAAGGTTTGATTTTAATGTCAATTTAAACAGGTTTCCATTAAAATGAGACATTTGATTAGACTTTTTGATGTACCCACCTTAAACTCACATGTTAACTGACATTCATGACCAAAAATGGAAACCCAAGGAGCAAATATAGCCAAGCTTTTTGTTTTGATCAGCACTTTCTTTTAAAACTTAGAACCACTTTGTTCAACTGAAGACCAAACACCGTTTGGCGATATGTTTTTGAAGTGAAGTCGAGGATAAAGGAAAGACTGCAGAAGGGACGTAGCGGTGAGTCATCAGAGAGGAATGACAGATGTATTCCTTGTGTAAAGCCTGTCAATTCCCGGTAATGTCGATGTAAACAGATCTTTTCCAACATCCCTCTCTGTGGAGACGGCGTTCGCGGCACGCTGCGTTCTCATTTTCTCTAACACAGCTCAGACTGCAGCGGTGCACGGGAGCAAATCACTGAAACGTGGAGGAAATCAGTGGCGTTCCTCTTTGATGGCCGACTGCCTTACTGCGGCCATCACTCATCGGAGACGCTCCTCAGTGTGGAACATGCCTTAATTTGGAGATCAAAAGTGACAAATCAATCCTCTGTTCATCTGAGGGCCTCCCAGGATGTCACCCACCCCCCCCCCCACCCCCCTTCCCCCCCCTCCTCTACCTCCTCACAGTTCTTTTCCCGCTTTTCCCTTTCTCACTTTGTGAGAGCTGCTTAAAGGGGCATGACTCCATTTTCAATTGAGAGCAACTCAGCTCCGGGGGCCCCCCCCCCCCCCAGGAGGACGCTTGCAGGAAATGAAGGCAGCGCACATTGTCCCTGATCCTTTTCAAGGCTACGCTCCTGTAGGTGAAGAGGAAAACTATCCTCCCTCTGTCACACACCACAGACTGTGTGTCCGTGTGTTTGTTTATGCCGGAAAAGCTCCGAAGTTACAGGAGAGAAAAACAACAATGAGCTCAAATGTATGAGAGCCACACAGTGGAACCGTGGTTAGTGCTTTTGCCTTACAGTAAGAAGATCAACAGTTTGATGTTCTGTCCTGGATCTTTGTGTATGGAAGTTGAATGTTCTCTTTGCATGTTCTCCGGGGGGGGGGGGGGGGGGGGGGGGGGGGGGGGGGGGAGAGTAGTGGGTTCTCCAGGTTCTCCTGTTTCTTCCCAGTCCAAAAAGGATCTGGTTGTTCACTCTAAACTGACTAATGGTATAAGAAGAGTGAAAGAAAATGTTTGTTTCTTGCAGGATAACAGTTAAAAAAAAATTTCTTCCTGAAAACAATTTTGATAACAATATATTGGTGTTTGTCTTTGCTGCTCCATTTACAAAAACAAAAGTTAATGCTACAAAATCGCTATCAAAAATAGTGTTATTTAATAGTAGGTTTGAAATATAATGTTGACCTGTGTGTCAATAACGATTTCATGGTTTGTTGACCTTGAGAACTGAACATGCGCCTAAAATTAATCATTTCAATAAAAATGATTTCATATTCATTATGGTTGGCCTCATATTTGGTGGGATTTGCTTTAGCTCCACCTGCAACCTGAATACGATGTGTGGAAGCTGAAGATAAAACTTGATAAAAAAAAAATGTTGTGCAGCAATACATCAACTAAACAACAGAAGACAAATCTCTGTCTTCAGATGAACGGTGGCAGCATTCCTCAGACCAAAGAACTACAGGTGCACGGAGCTGCATCCTGTCGTTTGTGACTCTTTGAATGAGTAAGAGTGAGTTAAACTGACACCCTGGGATG